GCATCTGCCAGACCTCTACCATAGAGCCCGTGGGTGCCATGACAGCGCGACGGCCTTCTGTCACACGCCGCTTGGGTCCAATTTCTGCTATTTTTCGCACTTTTCTTGCAACACCATGCGGAATGACAACGACAAGTCTCCCTCCTGGCCGCCGCGACCCAAGCCCCCACTTCCCGTTTTGATGCTCTGGATGCGTGTGTTTTGATGTTCTGGATGCTTCGGCACGCAAGGTCATCACTACGACTTGGAGCCGCGAATGCTGGATGTGGGTTGAAAAAGCAGTGCCAGATGTGGTCAGAAAACATGTGGCATCGGTCATATTCGTTCAACTGCAGCCAAAAAGTGTATCGGCCAAAGGAGGGCGGGTGCCAGGGCACGGCGTGGCGGAGCACGACGCTGCAAGATGTCTGTCAAAACCAGTCACCTGCTTTAGAAAAGGATGCTAGGAGGCTCTTCCAGCTGTGCTGATACAGACTGGGACTCCTCCAGTCTGCGCACCGGCCAAGCTACCCAACAGTGTCCTCAATGCCGTTCTGTATTTTTGTCCACGATGACACTAAGCCGCCTGCAGCAGTTTCTCATCTGTGCTTTGGTTGTGCACGGTTCTAGTAGCCCGACTTGCTTGCATGTGCTCATTGCAATCTGCCGTGTCTATTTCAGTGAACTAGTTTATTGAGATTGTAGACATCCCGGCAACAGTTGAGTCTTGAAGTGTTGACACGCGCATCACCTGACCTGAGTTCAATGTTGTCCGATTTTCATGTGACTGTGTGTGTGTGTGTGTTTGGGTGGGGGGCAGTGTGGGGGTGGTGGTACTGCGATCAGCTGGTTCGCGACACACTCAGCACAGACGGAGTCAAATCCTCGAACTGCAAACTGGCAGCAGGGCTTCCGGTCGATGAGGCCGAAAAACATTGCGTACTCCCGCGGCTCCTCGAGCTCAGCACAGGGCAGAGTCAGATTAAGCCACAAGGGCCCAAAAGGGTTCGAGTTCTTTGGGGTCCGAAGCCTGCAAAGGGTCGAAAGCTCTTCTGTGCTTTTTAAACACGCTCGCAAGTTGCAGGGGGCAAGAAAGCTGCCCTCTGCCACCAGTTTATTTGCCTTGCCGCAGTTTCACGGACAGTTTTTCTGCACGAGGCTCTGACGAACACACATTGTAAGCCTGTCTAAGTTCTCCATGTGTTGGGCCCCTTGTCACAGCCTTCGGCGGGTCTTCACATCTGGATTTATTCTCTCGCTTCGCAGCTCAGTCGTCCAAGCTGTCGGATCAGGCCATAGCATTTCCAGTTGACGAGCACGGCCTTCTCAAGAGAGGTGCCGCCACTGACTTTGTTGAGTGAAGCCTCGACACATCTCTGATCTGGCTGGCGGCTGTGTTGCGAGGCATTCATCATGTTGGAGCATCAATTTCAGGTTCCATGCCGTGCACCAAGTCGACAGTTCAGAGCCCTTTCGACATAGTGTGTGGATGTGTGTGGCTTGGCGAAGAGGCCCCGGCAGCAGCGAAGCCGGAAGCTCAGGGGCCTTGGTCCTAAATGTTTGACCGCCTCCGTGCCCAGGCTGGTTGTACTGAGATGAGCTTCAAGCTCGTGAAGCGAGTTCTCCCACAGGATTGCAGAAGCTCCAATTCGAGGTCTCGACGCGGCCACAAGTGTTTGGCCACAAGTGTTTGGCAACGTTGCGCACGAGTCGAGAAGGAGCTCCGGAAAATTCCCCAACCAACAGCCTATCTGCATGCAGCCAGTGATATTTGTCAGGCGAAAAGGCCTCCCACCAGCCCCCTTTCACACACGGTGGCTGGTTGTCGTACACCAACCCGACCGCAGGATGCTACGTGAAGTTATGTTAGGAGTGGATGATACTGCAGCTTACAGGGACGATCTGTTTGCCAATGCCTCCGTGACACACAGTCTGAATCCTTCAAGTCATGACGAGATTATAGCTCTCAGTGGCAACAGTGCATGTTTCTTCTATGAAGAGCTCTTCGCATGACACAAGAACCTGTTTTTGATACTCGGATTGCGTTCAAGCCCAAGGTGCTGAGTCTTTTTTCGTCTAGTGTTCATAAAGCGTCAGGACTGACATGTGAAGTCCACACAGCATGGCGCATCTTCATGGTCCTCCTTTAGCTCAGCCGCCTGTACTGGCCGCAGTTGCTGAATGCAGAGCACGTGGATGGGACTCCAAGAGTACAGCCAGCCGGCAGTGCCAGCGAGAGCAGCACCACCACCAGCATTGGCATTCTCACCGGGCCAAGTGGACAGGCGCTTTGCTGAGCACAAGTCTGGCATTGCTGCGCTCGAGACGGAGGTGCCTCCAAGACAGGTCCAGACAACGCCAGCCTGTTCGCACAAGCGTGGCTGCTGCGCAGTATGGAGATGAGTACGTCGGTGACGCAGTGGATTTAGAACTAGCTGATTCTTTGCGGCAGAGAACATTGGAGTCTCTGGACTTAGATTTCGTGCTTGAGAAGCTGCAGGCGCTATGTTATACGGCCATGGCAGCAGACATGGCTGTCAATCCAGAGGAACTGATGGCGGGCTCGGCCGAAGAAGCAAGAGCGCTGTATGCCACGGTGCTGGAGCTAACTCAACTCGAAGATGCAGATTTGGATTTGGAAGAGAAGCTTGACATTCTTGACGAGGCAAGCACCGTGGCCAAATGTTGCGAAGTCGTGCCGCTTACTGGCCTGTCAGGTGGAGCAGTGCACTCGCGGAGCTGTTCTAGCTCTATTCTTAGAGTGCCATCCGAATCTCCATTGTGGAGAGGATGTAGAAGGGGAGCCCAGCGCATGCCTCCAGCCGCTGAGGGGATCGTAAGGAGGGTTGGTGATCTGCCCGCACGTGAACATCGAGTCTATTCCCGCATGTGCTGTTCAGCCATACTTGCTCTTTTCGGGCTGATGCTTCGTTCGGGTCTGACCCCGGTCTGGGTTCGTGGCATCTTTCTGACTTCTTGCTCTTATCTCCTTGAGCCCCAACTCTCCAAACATCCCAAACAGAATTTTCGGATGCGATCACGCAGATTCAATCCCACAAGTCAAGCCCGAAACTCTTGAATCTTAAATCTTGATCAAAGCCCAAAACCACGAACCCCAAACCTTCCCTCAGACTCCGAGAAGTGAGTTCGAAGTCGCAGACCAGAACTACATAAATGAGACCACCACTAGCAAACTACTTGCTAACCAAGGAGCCGTTGCGACAACCAGCCTCACAAGAAGTGCAAGGGCCAGAATATTGTGAACGCTGTAATCGGCCCAAACTAGGAAGAAATCACCGCGTCGAACGACGTCGATGGCGACTGATTGCATTCCCCTCATGTGGCGGTGGCGGCTGATGACATTTCTTCCACCTGCCCCTCCATTATAGGCGACGGCGGTTGATCACGTTCCCTGGTTCGGGCCCCCTTCATATGGCGTCGATCAAAATCTTCTTGAAGGTTAACCGGCTCCCTCATTCTGGTTCCCGATTTTTTCCTGGTTTCCAAATTGCCCTCTTTGGTTTCCGAATTAGCTAACATTCTGGCGCTGTGGTTTGCGAATCATCAGTGGTTTCCGAACCACCCGTCCTGCCTCCGATTCATGCAAGTGTGAACACATGGTTGGGTTGTGAACTCAGCTGTTGTGCTAAACATTCCTCAGCTACAAGCTTGTGGAGTTGCTAAAGTTTTCCGGCGACCAAACCAGCGCCAGTGCTGGCGCCAGCCCAGTCCTAGCCGCTCTAGGCGCGCTAGCTCCCCAAGTTGCACAGCCTAGGCGCTTGTAGTCGCATGTGTGGTGTCGGAACCGTTGCTCTTTGGGTGACAGATGATGCAGCCCACACACTTGATGAATCTCAGACCGGCTACTGCATACTCTTGCTGTCCGTTTCCGCTGCTTGGTGAAGACCAAGGAGACCCCCTCCCTTTGCAAGATCTCCAGGTCTATCGAGGCGGTTTTGGCTGTGCTCTTGACAGAAAAATGTGTTGTTTCGAAGCAGCTTGCCGCAAGGCGTTACTCCGACTTCGCAACGGTTGTCTCCTCACTACCTTTGCATCGCAGAGCCTCTCAGCTTTGGCACGAGCTTAGGTTTAGAAGCCGCGAGCATTCGCGGAGTACACATCCCGTCGCTGATGGCGCTGTGTCAAGAAATTGCTCCTCAATTGAAGCTCTGCTAGCGCCTGGCGCACTTCCTTACGCAGCCATGCCAAGGAGTTGCCAGATAAACTCTTGGACGCCATCCTGGAGGTGTTTGCTCTTGCCACAGTTTTTTCTTTTTCAGTGAGATGTCCATGGAGGCCTTCGATGAAGAACAAGAGTTGTCCTTGAAGAAGTTTCCAGAACTCGCGGCGCTACGTCAAAGAGTCAAGTGGATGACTTGGAAGACCTTCGTTTGTGTTTCGAGCGCTCTCGGTTTGCTGGGCAACTACCCGGATCGTGCAACTGAGGGATTTGGAAGATGCTTGCACTCGCGTCATGTCCGAGGTGACCACTAGTGGAAAGTGCGCCTTCATCATGGGACAATGCTGCGTTCCATAATTTTCTTGTATCCCATACAGAACCTGACACTGTGCTCTGCCGCTGCCATTTTGGAACAAGTCAGTGTTCTGCAAACTACAAGTCTTTCCCGCTGTGTTCCGTGCCTGAGGCACGCTTCTGTCTTTCCCAGCTTGAGGCGATGTTGAGCAGTTGTAGCATGTACAAGTCCCCCGAATGAATCAGAATGAAACCATCCTGGATCGACTTAGGACAGAATCAGCGACCTGTGTGGTCCGTTGGTCAGTTGAGGCTTGCTTGAGGTGCAGCCCCCGTCTGCCGGAATGTCTACTAGGCGGCGAGATTGATTCTGGCTGTCTCCCCGTCACTCTAATGCCACAAACTCGGCTGTTTGTCGTAAATCGCAGATCCGAATAATCGCAGCCCTCAACAAGCCGAAATTCGCTGAAATTAACGCCACAACCCAGAAGTTCAGAGAGCCGAGTACCACCCCATGGGCTGTTGCTGCGCGCGGTGTTGGGCGACTGCCTATTGAGAGTGTACCGTCTGCCACACTATATGAGTGTGAGTTTTGTTCGTTGACATCGTCTTCCAAAGGCGTGCTGCAGGGCTTCGAAACGTTGTTGTATGTCGGTCCTTGCCCTAACGCCCTGCAAAGCTTGAGCACAAGCTTTCTTCCCGTGGAAATTCTTGCTGTACCGCCCTGGGCCATTTTGATGTTCTTTGTCTGTCGTTGTTACTGTTGTTCGTTGGTTGTTGTGGTCGAAGTTTGTTTTGTTGTTGATGATTGTTGTTTGCTGGTTGTTGGTTGGTGGTTGTGTATAGGTCTACAATTTCATTGTCACGTGGACCCAACATGTCATTCGACTGGTTTTTGTCGACAAAGTCGGAGGAAGTGGGTGCTGGAGCGAGCCATAGCGAGCCCAAGCGATCCCTTCAGTAATCGTGCCATGCTCATCTTCTGCAGGTGACGAGATGAAGGTGTGTGCCTCAGTGCCGTGCGTTAGCACATTTCGAGCTTGTCACAGTGCTGTGGCCCGAGGAACTCCGTCTGCTCGCTGTGGCCTACATTCTGGTGTCGGTGACGTTGCAAGGTTGTGAGCCGCAGGCGAGTTGCCGGTGGTTTTGGGTGACATCGAACAGTTCAAGGTCTTTCCAAGCCTCCGCATTTCAGCCGTTCCGATGCCGAGCAAGTGGTGACCACGAGTCATTGGAGCATCTCGTGGTCTTCTGCTTTGTCACAGTAGAGCCACATTCAGCGTGATTCTCGAGAAGTCAAGCGACACAGCATGCACAACATGCCCCATGCCAGGAAGACTCGTACTCGTGCCAGGCAGGCAGCACGTTCCGAGTTGCCAGTGTGTCACCTGCGACCGGCAGACGCTGCATCAGCTTGCGAAGTGTGGCCATGCACTCTCCTGTCTGGACAGTGTCATGTTGAGTCTCATAAACATAATCTGCACAGCTTACCCAAACCGACTTCCTGATGGTCAGTATGCTTGCATTTGTGGGCTTCCTCCGCCTCTAGCGGATTTTGCGGTCATGTCGGCTGCTGATGATATCAGATGTTGCTCACCTTGCGACCGGAACGTGCGGCAGGTCTGCGAGTCTCGTCCGTGCCGGCGACGCCACAGGGGCGCGTCACGAGCATCAGCGGGAACCCCGAAACGCGGCGGAGGAGGGTCCGCGGCACTGGCGGCCCTCCTTTCAAAGGCTTCGCGCTTGGAGCTTCGCCAAGCTCTTGCGGCCCTGTGGCCGCAGCACAGAAAGGGCCCACTGCGCTGCCCGATTTAAGGGCTGCGTCCTCTCCGAGAGTCAGCAAATCATAAGCGACAGTTTGACTCCAGGTACATAAGGCAGGCCCGCAGGCTCTGACGACCGCAAGCTTTCGCGCTGTGAGTGGTGGAACGGCCCCACCCCCAAACCGCTGCCGGAGAGGGGCCGCTTTTCCCCCAAGACAGAAATCACCCCCGCGCAGACACCCCAGCTGATGCGCATGATGCGAGCCCGCGGGGGCCCAAGTCAACACCGCTGAAAGCAGCGTTTTGAACGACAAAAAACGTCAAAACAATGCATGCTGAGAACACACGAGAACCTCGACATTTACGGCGTTTTCGCCTTTTGCCAAAGACAACAAAAAGGCGCAGATGACCGACAGAGCCACGCAAGACCCGGTCGTCCAAGCACTCAGCCCTTGAAGTCCCGCCCATATGCCAAGCCGGGAGGAAAGACGTGCGATGAAATGCAGGGTCCGTGGAATTGGCTTCGCCTTTGGAGCTTCGCTAAGCTCTTGCGGCCCAAAGCCGCGCCCACTGAAAGGGTCCGCTGCGCTGCTCGAGTGCCAAAGCTCCGCTTTCGTATCGGGGGCTGTCGCCCTGGCAACAGCAGCCGGGCCGAACATCGCTGCCATCGCAGCCGACCGCCCGTCAATTTAAGAGCCTCCGGCTCAAGCCGGCGACCCGGCGTGGGAGCACTCCAGGAAGGTCTTGGCCCGGTGGCATTCCAAGCACAGGGCCCCGATGCAGGCGGGGGAGGCGGGGGGGATATATGTGACGAAAACATTGCCATGGGCAAAGATGCATCTGACGAGTTTGATCGACTGGGTTGATCGTCGTGGCAGTACTCGTGGCAGTGAAGTGCAGATTTTGCAAAGATCTCACCAGACCGTGTCCAGTCGTGGTGGGAAGGAGAAGGGGGGAGAGAGGAGGCCTCCCAACCATCCAGGAGGTGGTGGGGAAGGAGAGGAGGGCGAAGGGGGGGGCGCGGGGCCCGGGGGGGGGCCCTGGGAGGGGGAAAACGAGGTGAAGCCTGCTGAATTCGCTCAAAGGTGTCAACGCCACGCTGTGCAGGCTCAGCGTCCTCCATGGAAATTAGT